GAATGCGATAGTGCTTGTATATTGTTATCTAAAATGCCGGCTTGTATATTGTTATCTAAAAGCGAGCCAATGTCAGCCAGACAGCCTATGCCAACCAGCGAGCCAATGTTAACCAGCGAGCCATTACCAGTCAGCCAGCCAGCCAATGTCAGGCAAGGCAAGACTAACTAGGGAACTGCTCGAACTTAGAATCGATTTGGGATCTGGGAACTAGCGCAGAAATGCCAACTTGAAATTCTAAGGGATACGTGTTTTTCAGTTTTACTCCATAGCATCCAGTTTACGAGAAAAATGCTTTTAAAGTTTGGGCACTTTTTAAAAAAAAGGGGAAAGCAACGGAAACGCTTTCCGGAAAGGCCGCGATATGAGGGTAAATTAATTTCCCCAACAGAGTGTTTGGATGGTCTAGCGGATAGTGTGCTCGGCCCTCGCGCGGGTCTGGTTCCTGGTTGTCTCTGGTTCGGATCCTCTCGCTTTCAAGATCTTTTTCTTTTTTGTGAAAGCACTGTTTTAATGATTTTAGATAGTGAAACACAATTTTTAAGTATTTTAAAGTGTCTAGAAACAGTAGGAAGCTAAATAGGGCTCATGTAAATGGCTGAAAACAACTTTCAGTGACCACGGAAAGAAGAACAGCTTTCACAAACGAAATCTGACTTTTAACAAAGAAATTGTTAAAAGTCAGATTTAGAAATTGTTATTTTTGTGAGAAATATTATATTATCATATCAGCGTCGATTATTTTTTTGAAATTACTTCATAAACTCTTTGAAATTTCCAATGATTTTAACGTTTCCAATTCTAAATCGTTTAAAACGTTGCCAAGTTTACTTTCAAAAAGCTCTTATCGCAGTTCCAGTGTTCGATTTGGTCTCAAACTTTTGTTTACTTATGAAAAACGATTTCTAGAAAAGTTTTATACAGCTTTAAGTTCTATAAAGCTAGCTTTAAATTCTATAAAGCTAGCTCTAGAAGTTCTATAAAGCTAGTTCTAGAAGTTCTATAAAGCTAGCTCTAGAAGTTCTATAAAGCTAGCTCTAGAAGTTCTATAAAGCTAGTTCTAGAAGTTCTATAAAACTAGCTTTAGAAGTTCTATAAAGCTAGTTCTAGAAGTTCTAATAGTTATACAGCTTTTGTTAACAATTTTTTACTCAAAACACAAGTCAAATAATGGCTCTCAAACTTTTCAGCTTTGAATAAGAAGCTATTCCAAAGAAGCTATTCCAAAGGACTTTCCAAAGGACTTTCCAAAGAACTTTCCAAAGAAATCCAGTTTGTTTCTGATTCTTAACGCTCGATTTTGTTGTTAATCGAAAAAGCTTGATATTAGCAGAGAAATCTGTGAAATCATAAACCCAGTTTTCGTGCATAGAAAAGAGATCCTTTAGCCTTAAACACCGATCTTTTTCACCTTAATCCCTCTCTTTCCCCTTGTAAGGATGCACTTCTCGTCATAGCCGGTGCTGACCACCCCCTTCTCTTTTCTTTTCTCTTTTCTTTTCCATTCTCATTTCTTCGAGAGCTCTCACCACTCACCAGCTTGTTAGTCCGTTCTTTCCTGGCTTCTAAATAACCTGTTCGTTTTTTTTTGAATAGCCAGAAGCCAGAAGAGCCAGAATTTTCAAATTTCTGTAGAAGCCACTCCTTTCTGTTGTTTTTATGAGAAATTTTGCTTATCAATGATTCAAATCAAGCTCAACCTCAACCTTTAACTAGAACTAGCTTTAACTAGCTTTAACTAGTTTTTACAAGCTTTTGCAATTTCTGGTCTTTTTCTTTATCTTTTCCTGGTAACTACAAAAGCCAAGCAATCCAGGCAATTTTCGAAGATCTCCTAATATTTCCTAACAACTCATTCATCTCTTTCACTGCTTATTATATGAAATATGTGCTTAATCTGCTTATCTGGAGAAACTGGGGATTCAACGATGCTTATTAAATGTGAAATCTATGTAAAACCTAAGTGAAATCTCTTTCTCAAAATAGGCTAATAAGTTTTCGAGTTTCTCTAAAAGTTTAGACCAATTAAACCCGATTCACTTGGTAAACTGAACAAAATGAATAGCTTCAATCGATTGCCCATCCCCGAAAACCCCAGGGTACAAATTTACAGCTCAATATCTTCTTCCTTTGGGCCATTTACAAAGCAAGAGAAATCTTTATGCCTACCGGAGAGGTGTTCTTTGTGTGGCCGCGTAATCGCTCACGATCTAGCATATCGGGCTGGCATAAGGGACTTCCCATTTGTCCTGGGTAATCCACGCGTCTAAATGCTCTCGTGTAAATCCGTTCGTTATTATGTTCGTTTTGTTCGTTATGTTCGTTATGTACGTTCTTTATGCGGCCGCGTAATCGCTCATGATCTGGCATACCTGGCTGGCATAAGGGCCTTCCCTTTTGTCCTGGTTAATTCACGCGTCTAAATGCTCTCGTTTAAATCCGTTCGTTATTATGCTCAAATGTTTGGTTTTTAGTGAGAATCTGTCCTAATTTCTTTAATTCCTTTAATTTAATTCAAATTCAATCCAGGATTCCTTTAATTCAGATTTCGATTGGATTTTTGATACACTGACGAAATCTCGACCCTTTTTACACATTCAGCCCAACTCAATACTTGTATATGTTACGTCCGAATCTGAGGAGACGTCCATCTCCGATCCGGACGTTCGAACCTGAGGAGATTCATTCTCCTCTGAAATGGACGTCCGGATCGGAGATCGACGTCCGAATCTGAGGAGATTCATTCTCCTCTGAAACGGACGTCCGGATCGGAGATGGACGTCTCCTCAGATTCGGACGTAACGTATACATCACTTATTTTTTCAGTTTCTGAGGGTTCTTCAACCCAAAATTATTATGAGCAAGCAGAAATATTATGGTAACAGAAAAGACTTGGCAAGCTTGAAATGAGAAAAGTCAACGGTCGATCAATCGAAATACAGAAAAGAAAAATATCATGGCTAAGCGGAAAATCGAGACTTTGATAAATTCGATTGGATTTTTTGATCCACTGTCATAATCTCTTATGACAGTGGATCAAAAAGTCCAATCGAAATCTGAATTAAAGGAATTCTGGATTGAATTTGAATTAAATGTAAGAAATTAGGACCGATTTTGTCGATATTTTGTTAAAACCTTGGTTTTGTTACATTTTACATTACAAATCCTGCCCATACCTAGCCGGTGAATATTTTCCTTTTCTCTCTGTTCTTTTTCTCCTTCTTTTTTCACAACCATTTTTCAGTGCCTTCTTATTTTTGGTTGCTTTTCTCCAAATTCTCCAATTCTTTTCTCCCAAAATCTCACAATTCTCTGATCAAAAAGCAACAGATCGAACAAGAATTCTTTTATAGGCATCCGCTTTTCATTAAGTCATCGAACTCGAACTCGAATTTCCACCCACCGTAAATACTGTAATAGTACCCCAGCCCCCTCGTACAGTCGCGTAGTCGCAAGTATTGGGTTGATGGAAAAGTCCTTTCCGATCAACCCAATATTTCAGTCGCATGCATGTCGCAGTTTTTTAGTTTTTCATTTTTTTGATCCAATATTAAGTGATCCAATATTAAGTCATCCAATTTTTAAGCTATCTTTTAATTGAACAGAGTCTTGGCTTCCTAAAAACAAGCTCTAGAACTGTGAGCCAAGCAAAGCCAATCCAAGCCAAGCCAAGCCAAGCAAAGCCAATCCAAGCCAAGCCAAGCCGCCAAGCCAAGCCAAGCCAAGCCAAGCCAGGCCAAGCCAAGCCAAGCCGCCAAGCCAAGCCAAGCCAAGCAAGGCAACGCTAGAGCAGCTCACTTTTCCCAAATACTTGGGGTTAATTTTTACCATAAATTTGTTTATTTTTCTACAAAAATACAAAGAAATCGATTTTCTTGTCTTCAAGCGACGGGGTATAACTAAAAAAAACACCAAAAATACATACTCAATCAGGCTTTGTATCAATCAATCATCCCAAACGAGGCTTTGTATGAAAGATTTGGCCATATTAAAGCCGCTTTCTCAATCTTGAACCTTTTGAGTTACGAGAAATCTTTCATTCCATCATTTTTCATTTTTCCAATCCATCATTTTTCAATTCATATTTTTCCTATTACTCACCACCTAATCAACCCATTTTTGCCCTTTAACATTTCCCATTTTTCTGTTTTTTCTGTTTTCCAAAATCGTTATTGTCCTTTTTGTTTATTTGCTCCCAAAAAAACAGTCGACAGACTTTTCCAAATTTGTTTAGATTTTTCTAGTTTCAATTTCTCTATAATTGCTGGTTTTTTTCCTCTCGAATTTCCACCCACCGTAAATACTGTAATAGTACCCCAGCCCCTTCGTACAGTCGCGTAGTCGCAAGTATTGGGTTGATGGAAAAGTCCTTTCCGATCAACCCAATATTTCAGTCGCATGTCGCAGTTTTTTAGTTTTTCATTTTTTTTAAAGCGCCCGTACTTTCAAAAAATACGTCTTTGATATCAAAAAATAGCCCTGAATTTCAGCTATTTTTTGATACCAAAACGAATATTTTAGCATAAACCAGTGTCGAGAAAAACCCGTTCAAAGCTAGACTACGCAACACTCCGCATCGTCATGATGGGGCTCGTACAGTCGCGTAGTCGCAAGTATTTCAGTCGCATGTCGCAGTTTTTTAGTATTTCATTTTTTTCAAAGCGCCCGTACTTTCAAAAAATGCGTCTTTGGTATCAAAAAATAGCTTAAATTCAGGGCTATTGTTTGCTTTGAACTTTTGAACGAGTTTTTCTCGACACTGGTTTAAGCTACAATGCGCGCTTAGATATCAAAAAATAGCCCTGAATTTCAGCTATTTTTTGATACCTTTGCGCGCATTGTAGCATAAACCAGTGCCGAGAAAAACTCGTTCAAAGCTAGACTACGCAACACTCCGCACCGTCATTATAGGGGTGGGGTACTATTACAGTATTTACAGTAGATATATTTCATTTTTTAATTAGAATTTTGGAAAATTGATAAAAAAAGAGAAATTTCAGATGATTCTCAGGTTATTGATCTCTTTTCTACCGCTATCAATTGCGGAAATTGCTGATTACACAACGAAACCAAAAGGTCAAAATCCGACACTTTATTCGGCTGACGATCACGTGATTCAGTTGGATGAATTCACATTCAATGATACTATTTATTGTCAAGGATCTGATTGTACCGCTTTTTTGGTTGAGGTGAGCAAATACGGGACAAAAAAACCCGGTTTTTCATTTTTTTTTTCGTCTACTTATGACCAAAACTAGAAAAAGGGTTATAGTAAAGATTAGCGCGAGTTCCTCTAGAGCAATGCACTTTCTTGTCTCTAAAACGTCTAGACAAGAAAGTCTTCTTGTCTCTAAAACGTGTCTTCTTTCGAAAAGTACCTGTATTGTCTTTTCTTTTATCTAATCTATCGATTCAGATAGATTAGATAAAAGACATAAAAGATGACATTGTTCTTCTTCGTTAATCTCACAGAATCAGCTCAAAAGATTGGAGAAACTGGATCAAGATTGAATAAAAATAAGAGATTACAGTAGTTATCGAAAGTTGACACGGTTTAGAAAGTAATTAACTGCCTGTGGAGTAAGGGAAATCAAGTGTGTTGTGGTGTATGGGTTAACACAGGTGTCCGGTAAGTGAAAGGTCGCGGGATCGAGTCCCGGGGGTAAGCAGAGTTGCCCGGTAAGCGACGAAAGGTCGCGGGATCGAGTCCTAGCGGCGCACAAGTTTTTGATCTGTCCTAGTTCCAAGTAAGCACTAGAAAGAAAGGAAGAAAGAAAGAAAGAAAGCTGAGAAGAGCAAGAGAATATTCCGTTACTGTACGTTAAGCAGCTTCATTGTACATTGTTCATTGTAATTCAATAGAAAATCGAAAGCGGAATCCGAATCTGTAAGCAAAATCTGCTGAATAGCTCGCAAACACAAGATTTCTGGCATCAAGCTGCAGTGAAGCTGCTTACAGCAACAGAAAATGCTTGTTTTCTTAACTAATGACTAATGTAACTAATTTGACTTTCTTATCTTTCTTATCTTTCTTATCTTTCTTATTTTCTATCGAATTGGATCTGGATTTCGTTTCGAAATCCAACGAGAGGCTAGTACTCTTCCATGCACGTTTTAAAGTAAAGATCAAATTGTATTTCTGTAAAAGTTTAACAGCCAAAACCAAGCCGGGCGACAGAGCTTTCTCCCACAAAACCGTTTTGTTATTCCGACAAGTTTCGAGATTTTCTTTTTTTTTGGAAAGCTTCTCAATGCAAAAACCCCTTGAATCAAGTGTGGTTGCAGAAATGGTAAAGTGTTGGGCTTTTGTCGAATGGGGAAAAGGATGAGAGACTGGTTCTCTCAAGAATCCTCCTCACCCCGAAGCTCACCCTCAAATCGCTCCCCCAATTCTCACCTTAAAACAATCTCCAAACAATACAGGTTTCAGGGATTTGCAAAGAAGAAAAAGCTTCAAGCTTTAAGCTTTAAGAGGTTTAAGAAGCGTTCGGAAGCTTTAAGAAGCGTTCGGAAGCGTTCAGAAGCTTTCAGAAGCTTTCAGAAGCTTTCAGAGGCTTTCAGAAGCTTTCAGAGGCTTTACGAAGCTTTCAGAGGCTTTCAGAGGCTTTAAGAAGCTTTAAGAAGCTTTAAGAAGCTTTAAGAAGCTTTAAGAAGCTTTAAGAAGCGTTCGGAAGCTTTCAGAAACTTTAAGAAGCGTTCAGAAGCTTTAAGAAGCTTTAAGAAGCTTTAAGAAGCTTTAAGAAGCTTTACGAAGCTTTCAGAAGCTTTACGAAGCTTTCAGAGGCTTTCAGAGGCTTTAAGAAGCTTTAAGAAGCTTTAAGAAGCTTTAAGAAGCGTTCGGAAGCTTTCAGAAACTTTAAGAAGCGTTCAGAAGCTTTAAGAAGCTTTAAGAAGCTTTAAGAAGCTTTCAGAGGCTTTCAGAGGCTTTCAGAGGCTTTCAGAAGCTTTCAGAAGCTTTACGAAGCTTTCAGAGGCTTTAAGAAGCTTTAAGAAGCTTTCAGAAGCTTTAAGAAGCTTTAAGAAGAAAGCAAAAACTTTAAGCGAAGCTTTAAGCTGAAGCTTTAGGCTTTCTTTTAACAAAAAAAGTTGGCACATAAAACAATTCTCGTTTCAGTTCTACTCGGATTGGTGTGGGCACTGCAGAGGTTTGTTTTAGTTGAACTTTTCTTTATAACTTTTGCTAATAAGCTGTTGAAGTCAATATGAATGTTAAAAATAACATTTTAACTTATAAACAAATGTTTTTTTGAGTACTAAACACATCGAAAAGGAAACAAATGCATAAAGATGAGTGAAAGTGTTTGAAACTTTGAAACTTTGAAAGTTCGGAACTTTCAGCTCAAACAAATTAAGCTCAAAATTAGCTCAAAATTAGCCTCAAGAAGAATCCAAGAATTTCAGCCTTTGCTCCACTTTATAAACGGTTAGCCGATGATGTGAAGGGGTGGTCGCCTGTTGTAAAAGTGGCCGCAATCAATTGTGCCGATCAAGTGAACGAGGCGACTTGTCGAGCGAATGGAGTACAATATTTCCCATTCATCAAGGTAAACAAATGCTGATAAGCTCTTGGTAGCCTCTGATAATCTCTAGTTAAGCCAATCCTTCTGGCTAGGACCAGAAACTTAACTTAAAAGGAGTATAGTTCCCATTCATCAAGGTAAACAAGGGCTGATCAACTTTGGTAGCCTCTGATAATCTCTAGTTAAGCCAATTCTTCTGGCCTAGAAATCCTTCTGGCCTAGAAACTTGACTTAAAAGGAGTCTAGTTCCCATTCATCAAGGTAAACAAATGCTGACAAACTTTGTTGACCTCTGATAACCTCTAGTTAAGCCAACCCTTCAGGCCTAGAAATCCTTCTGGCCTAGAAACTTAACTTAAAAGGAGTATAGTTTCTGTTGGTCAAGGTAAACAAATGTTGATAAGCTCTTGGTAGCCTCTGATAACCTCTAGTTAAGCCAATTCTTCTGGTTAAGACCAGAAACTTGACTTAAAAGGAGTCTAGTTCCCATTCATCAAGGTAAACAAATGCTGATATGCTCTTGATCAGTTTAGCCTGGCTATGGTCAAGCCAGAATTCACCAGGCTTTTGCTAAATTTAAGTAAAACGTCATTTTGCAAAATGCTAGCGTTTCACTAACGAATTTAGCAGAATCTAGCAAAATCTAGCAGAATCTAGCAGAATCTAGCAGAATCTAGCAGAATCTAGCAAAACCTTACAATTTTCTAAATCCAACAATTCTTCCTAAACACTTCCGAGCCTTTTAAGCAGTTTTTTAGCAATCGTAAAACGCCTATATCTCAGCGCTGAAGCGAAATATCAAAAAATAATCACAGCATCGAAATCCGACATACTATGGCTACAAAACAAGCCAAAATTCGGCTAATTTTGAGCAAAGGAGCTTTTTTTTGAAAAAAATCAACCTCACGAAACTTCTGACCAACTTTTTACTCTGATCTTTCTGAAAATTTCAGTCATAACCCATTTCGAGGTCGAAAAATCGATTAGCGTCATTAGAAAAATAGGTTGCCGTCAAAAAAACAAACAATTATTGTACAAAAATAGTCGAGAAAAACAAAAACAGTCAAAAAACAAAGCCAAATTTGGTAAATTCAACAAAATTGCTTCTTCATTTAGCTTTTAGAATTTAGCAAACAGTTAGCAAGCAGTTAGCAAGCAAGCAGTTAGCAAGCAAGCAGTTAGCAAGCAAGCAGTTAGCAAGCAAGCAGTTAGCAAGCAAGCAAGCAAGCAGTTAGCAAGCAATCAAGCAAGCAGTTAGCAAGCAAGCAAGCAAGCAGTTAGCAAGCAAGCAAGCAAGCAGTTATCAAGCGTTTAGCAGTTAGAATTTATCAAATTAGCTTGTAAAAGAGATTTAGTATAATTTCTAGATATCCAATTGTTAAATTGATTCAGCAAAATGCTTTCCTAAATGCTGAATGCTCAATAGTTTAGTGAAATCGAGCCTACAGTTTCTAGAGTTAAAATTGATTTGATTTTAATTGAAAAGCCATGCTTTACCGATAGGAGATACGTTTATTTTGTGTTAGAAACTGCAAACACAACCCTCCTGGCACACCAAATTCATCTTTAAAACCAATTTCGTCTTTTCCACTCAAAGAAACTTTCAGTACTACGGTCGCAACACGGGTGAGCGGCTGAGAGACGAGATTTTGCTTAAAACCCCGCACAATGACCATGTATCTTGACGTGATAGATCTCTTTAGATCTTTAAATAAACCATTTCGTTCATTTTTCACTCATATAATCAATAAAAATAACTAATTTATAATAAAAACCCTCAAAATTTAGTACTTCCCACGAAACTCTTCTCAATCATTCGACGGGAACAAGTTGAAAGCTTTCCAATCACTTGCCGAGATGAGAGATCAACTTACAAAGGTTTTCAAAGCTATCAGACTATCTAAATTGTTAATATTCTTTCAAAAGAATACTGTATTTCATAGAATTTCTAGGTTGTGATTGATGATTTCTCAGTGAATCGTTTCCCAGATTGGCCTGATTTCGATTACTTGAATGAGTGAGTTGAGAAGAAGTTTTTGCATTGAAATATTGGGTTGGTGAATTGAAAATTGCCGGCTATGGTGACAGTTTGAGCACTTTCTTCAAAAGAAACCCTTTTTGGTGTCAATGTCAATGTGAGACAAGTGTGAGACTTAAAAATGGAGGACTGGAGATCTGGAGATCTGGAGATGTCCCAGTTTGAGCACTTTCTTCAAAAGAAACCCATTTTGGTGTCAATGGAAAAGTTGTAGAGAATCAAAAATCAAGCTTATATCCAAATTTTCAGAACGATTCAAAAACTGGTTTTCAAGAAATGCGAGATTTACGAATTTTTATAAAACTTGCAACAAAACTTGTAACTAAACTTACATTTTAAGGGAAACTACTAAGTGTATCTTTTTGGAAATTTGGCTATAAGCCTAATTTTTGATTCTCTACAACTTTTCTATTGACACCAAAATGGGTTTCTTTTGAAGAAAGTGCTCAAACTGGGCTGACAGCTGACATCCCCAGTCCTCCATTTTTAAGTCTCACACTTGTCTCACACCCAAACCAAAATCCTACTACGAAAGAGGAATCCGCAAATTGCCTATAAAATGGGCAGAAGTCGTCAATAATAATGGAAATTATTTGGAATGAATTGATGGTTTTATGTTGAATAAATTTTAGTTCAAAATCCCGCAGCAATTCACCAGCGCAATATAATAGAAATACTGTATGAAATCATAGAAATCATAGAAATAATAGAATCATATTATAAGTTTTATCTAGTGTTACCACATATGGCCATTTATGGGATGGAGTTGACGCGTCGGCTCAATTTTTGGCCATCGTCTTCGAGTCACATCAAACGAGTTTAACGGGGGCACAAGTGAGTCAAAAGCTTTAAAAAAATATTGCTATTTTTCTACTATAGTAGTTAGATAGATAATAAGATAAGATTAGATAAGATTAGATAAGAATAGATAAGAATAGATCAGAAAAGATTAGATTTTGACTTCATTTTCAGCTACTCCTCGACCTTTCCAAACATCGTGATCGTTTGGTGGCTCGGCGCTCATTGCGGACGAATCACCTCACCGATATCCTCCATTTAACGGATTTCCCATCAATTGCCATATTTAAGAAGGGAGAAACTCAACCAGTTCACGTATCAGAGTCAGTTTCAAGCAGTTTTCAAGCATTTAGACAGGGTGACTACAACTTTCAAACTGTCAAACTTTAAACTACAACTTTAAAACTTTCAAATAGTTTATAATATTCATCGATATCAGGTTTCGATCGTTGGAAATTTATTGAAAATGTTGAATTCCGCATTGCTTATGCATGTGCCTAATATAACAAAGGCTATCTTAAACAAAGGCTTTAAAGTAAGTAAGTAAAGGCTTCTGTTTACACGAGTAAACTGTTTGCAATAGTTGAAAATCGAAGAAAAGAAAAGAAAGAATAATTCTAGAATTCGTCGAATGTTGTTGAGTGAAGTTGAGGCTTTCTTGGGAACACCGACAAAATCCGTCTCCAACTCGATCATTCAAATGCACAGTCGACGTGTGAATCGAACGGCCCAATGTGAAGAGAATCCGGATGAGTGAGTGAAAAGAAAAAGCTTTCATGCTAAAGCAAAAAGCAAAAAGCTACTGCAGTAGCAAACAAAAATGATAATAAAGTCGAGCTTCGATCCAACGAACTGCAAGGGATCGGCCGAAGAATTCGTTATATCAAAATTCGTTGTATAGAAACAAATAACGATCGGTTTTTTCGCTTCGCTATATCGATTTCACTGTTTTGAAAACAAGTTAGCAACAAAAAGTTGAAAAAACAACTCCGTGACGCTTCTTGAATTTATCCAGTCAACCGCCACTCGCTTGAAAATCGCTAATTCCTTCCAAGCTTGCCAACTCCATCAACACCAACTCCAAGCTTGCCAACTCCATTGCTTTCTCTCGAAGCAGATTGCGAAGAAGCAGATTAGTACAGGCTAACTTCGATACAACGAGCTGCAAGGGATCAGCTTTCGAGAACGAATTTCGATCGAATTCGTTGTACAGAAATAAATAATCATTGCTTTTGAACCAATTCGCTATTTGAAAACAAGTTAGAACTAAAGAACATTAAAGAAATTAGTTCGGGCCTTGTTTCTGGTTTTTTGGGTCAAATTCCTAAAAGTTCCCTTAACACTTCGGCTTTTCACTTTTCGACATCATCGTAGTTGATCTCTGCAGCTTCCACTTTTAGAATGCGAAAAACAACTCCGTGACGCTTCTTGAATTTATCCAGTCAACCGCCATTCGCTTGAAAATCGCTAATTCCTTCCAAGCTTGCCAACTCCATCAACACCAACTCGATCCATGCCAACTCCATTGCTTCCTCTCGAAGCAGATTGCCGTCAAAACATTTGTTTTGGCATCGCATTTGCTTCAGCCAAATAAGCACAGACTCTTCGATTGATTCGTATTTACTCGTCTTTAGTGGTGCTCTTTTTGCAGCTCCTCCTTCATCGATCACTTCCATAATGTCCGGCTTCTTCCTAAGAATTGTTGAAATTGTTCTTTGCGGCAATTCGAAGTTTTTCGCCAATTCAGTCGTTCCTTTCGAAGTTGTTTGATCGAGTATTCGCTTCTCCAAAGCCAAATCGATGGATCGACCGTTGACTTTTCTCATTTCAAGCTTGCCAACTCCATCTCTTTCTCTGGAAGCAGATTGCAGTCACATTCGTTTTGACTTCGCATTTGCTTCAGCCAGACTCTTCAATTAGTTCGTATTTGCTCGTCTTCAATCGTGCCCTTTTGCTTCTCCTTTATCAATTGCTTTCATAATGGCCTTCCTAGGAATTGTTGAAATTGTTGATCGAGGCAATTCGAAGGTCAATTCAGGCATTCGTTTAAAAGTTGATTGATCGTCGCTTCTCCAAAGCCAAATCGATTGATCGACGCGTTGACTTTCCTCACCTGAAATATAAGAATATACTCAAAAATTAAAGAATAAAAAAGAAAACTTTACATTAAGCACACTTAAGATAAAAAAATGTTACAAGAAGTAAGAAAACTAATCGTAAAGCATTTCAAATTCAGTAAAAAATTAGATATCCAGGGGAGTGGGACAAATGCGACCTTTTTTTGCGCACCCGGACATTTGCGCACCTTTTTTTCCGCACCTTGCCCATTAGCGCACCTATTTTCGCGTTTTAAAAAAGCTCTAAAAGCTAATATTAACCAATTTCTATTCCAAAAGTTGTTTTTCTAGGTAATTTTAGGGCGTAGAATCGAAATTTTGACATATCAGAGCTTGTGGAAACAAACGGACGGAGTTATACAAAGAGAAAAATCGACAATTTTCTGTAATTTGATGCAATTTCTGTAATCTAGCCATTTTGTCTTTCAAATTGGTTCCACAAGCTCTGATATGTCAAAATTTCGATTCTACGCCCTAAAATTACCTAGAAAAACAACTTTTGGAATAGAAATTGGTTAATATTAGCTTTTTTAGCTTTTTAAGCTTTTAGAGCTTTTTTAAAACGCGAAAAAAGGTGCGCTAATGGGCAAGGTGCGGAAAAAAAGGTGCACAAATGTCCGGGTGCGCAAAAAAAAGGTCGCATTTGTCCCACTCCCATATCCAGTCAAAAAGCAGTAATCCATTTTGCTTTGCCATATTTTAGCAAATATGGAGATGAAATATACGGTAACTTATTCAACAAAGTGTTCGTTATATCGAAGTTTACCTTATCGAAGTTCGACTTTATTCAGAAAACTTTAGCAAAGAATATTTTTAACAAAAGACATTCAGGTGTCGACCATTGTACTTCGTCTCCGAAGTGGATATGTTGAAAGCGATGAGATACGCTCTCTACAGAGAAACCGGTAATAGTATCGGTCCCATAATTTGAGTCTTATCTGATAGTTTATTTATAGCTGGTTATCTACTAGGTAAAAGAGCAGCGCCTGTCTGTGCGTCTGTACGAGCTTTTTCCCGGCCGTCTTTGGGCCAAAAACCGGAAAGTCTGAAAGTTTCTAAAGTATTAAAATATGATATAATTGTGTCATTTAAAAAAAAATTAAAAAGTCAAGGTTGAGCGGCATTATGGGGTGTCGAACCCGGGGCTGCAGGGGGTCTGCGGGGGTTCTGCGGGGGTCTGCGGTGGTCCGTGGGGGTCTGCGGTGGTCTGCGGGGGGATCTGCGGGGGTCTACGGGGGGGTCTGCGGGTGGTCCGCGAGGGGTCTGCGGTGGTCCCGGGGGGTCTGCGGGTGGTCCGTGGGGGGTCTGCGGGGTCTGCGGCCGTGGGGGTCTGCGGTGGTCCGTGGGGGGTCTGCGGGGGCCGGGGGCGGGTGCCGGGGGCTGCGTCCGGGGTCTGCGGTGGTCCGTGGGGGGTCTGCGGGGCGTGGGGGTCTGCGGTGGTCCGTGGGGGTCTGCGGTGGCCTGGGGTCTGCGGTGGTCCGTGGGGGTCTGCGGGGGTCCGCCCCGGGGGGCGGGGGGGGCCCGGGGGTCGGCGCCGGGGGGCGGGGCGGGCCGGGCGGCCGGGGGCGGGGGCCGGGGGGGGTCTGCGGGGGCCGGGGGGGTCTGCGGTGGTCCGTGGGGGTCTGCGGTGGTCCGTGGGGGTCTGCGGTGGTCCGTGGGGGTCTGCGGTGGTCCGTGGGGGTCTGCGGTGGTCCGTGGGGGTCTGCGGTGGTCCGTGGGGGTCTGCGGTGGTCCGTGGGGGTCTGCGGGGGATCTGCGGTGGCCGTGGGGTCTGCGGGTGGTCTGCGGGGGGTCTGCGGGCGGGGGTCTGCGGGGGGCCGTGGGGGCCCGGCCGGGGGGCCGCCGGGGCCGGGGCTGGGGGCTGCGGTGGTCCGTGGGGCCGCGGCGGGGGGCGGGGGGGGGGGGGGGGGGGGCCGGGACTGCGGGCCAGACAGACAGACAAGCGCGCTCCCGACTGCGCCACGCCGCCTCGGACGCCCGACTAGAAAAACCCGCTATTTAGCGAGCTCTTCGGCTGGTAACCTGTAAATTCTCATATTTAGCCAGAAACGGTACCCCACTTCATGGAAACAATCTGACTGCTTTGTACCAATTCTTGAACGCGCTTTCCGATCATTTCCCAACTACAACAAGCCCCGATGGAGGACATAATGAGGTAATCGAATGAAGTTCGGTTGAATATTTTAGAAATTTTATAAATATATAGCAATATATAGCATTCTGTCAATTTAGAGTACCCTTGACCGATCCACGAGAGCCGTTCGCGTCTTCATGCGATTGAGGGAATTTTTGGAGAAACGAGGGCTCGATAAGTCGATTCCCGTGGAGGATTGGCAGAAAGAGTTTCTCGATGCTGAGGTGGGGTGGAAAGGATTTTTTCTTTCTTTTTTCTAAGAATAACAACAAGAACAATATGTTTTTAGCAACAACAACAATAGCATTGTTTTCAGAGTGACTCCGGCAGTCCTTTCCCAACGACAGCCGAATGGGATCACTGCAAGGGCTCCACTCCACAATATAGAGGATACACGTGTGGACTCTGGACGACTTTCCATACGATTTCTGTAACGGCTTATAGACAAGGGGCAAATAGTGAGTGAAGAACGAGTTTTATCAAATACAGAGCGCTAAGTTGGTAAAGTTAGGATTACGGTAGCTTTCTGGCGTGTACAAATTTTCGAAAATACTGAAAACGCCTGCAATTAACGCCTGCAATAACTCAATAACCAAATGTTTTGGAAAAAGTGGTTTTTAAAAATGGTGGCTGAATCAAATGAGATCTAGATATAAGTTTTCACAAAAAAATGGCTTTTAAGAGATTTTGAAAAGCCAAGCCGATTTGTTGGCCAAGCCGATTTGTTGGCCAAGCCGATTTGTTGGCCAAGCCGATTTGTTGGCCAAGCCGATTTGTTGGCCAAGCCGATTTGTTGGCCAAGCCGATTTGTTGGCCAAGCCGATTTGTAGCCAATGATCTTTCTAATCATCTTTCCAAAAATCTAAATCTTTTCAATGACCTTTCCAAAACCGTGCTTCATTTGATGCATTCAACATTTGTAAAATCAATTTTTAATCAAAGAGCTTTTGAAGTCCGATTTGTTGACAACTTATACACGATTTTCCAACAGACAACTGAACCAATTTCGATTTTCCAACAGACAACTGTTGTCGATTCTCAGTTAAAACACTTTATCCAATTTCCAGCATCAATTTGTATCATTTTCTCTAAACGATCAAAAAATTGACAGGCGCCGATTTCCATCCGCTTCCAATTCTTCACGCGATTCGCGACTGGGTCGGGAATTTCTTCGGATGTCTCCATTGTCGAGAACATTTCCTTCGAATGGCGACGAAATCTTTCAAAATTGAGGACAATGTAAGAAAAATTATAAATATAAATGCGGCTTTTGTATATCGAAATTTCCAGGTGAAAACCCGTGAGGATGTTTTCCTTTATTTGTGGGAAGCGCACAATCGAGTGAATAAACGTTTGATGGGAAGAGATACGGAAGATCCAAAATTCCCAAAGTGAGCTTAAAGTCGTTGGCGAGATCGTGAAATTTGAATTCTGATTGGAAAATTGTTTTTTCAAGTTGTTTAGTGGACTTTTTTTAAGCCCATTAACCTTGGAAATGGATTTTCTTTGATTTTCGCAATGTAAACACACCATTTCTGGCACACTAGTTCTTTGCCGTTTCGTCAGAAGTAGTCTAGAGCCATTGTAAGTAGTCTAGAGCCATTGTAAGGAGTCTAGAGCCATTGGAAGTAGTCTAGAGCCATTGGAAGTAGTCTAGAGCCATTGGAAGGAGTCTAGAGCCATTGTAAGTAGTCTAGAGCCATTGGAAGGAGTCTAGAGCCATTAGAAGTAGTCTAGAGCCATTGGAAGTAGTCTAGAGCCATTAGAAGTAGTCTAGAGCCATTGGAAGGAGTCTAGAGCCATTGGAATTGTCAAAAAAGAAAAACTGCGTCTGCTAGAGAGGCTGAGTTTACGCTTTTGAGCTCAAATAAGTCCCGGCTCAAATACAAGATAAGTCCCAGCCAAAAGAACCCAAGAAATACTGAACTTTGGTCTACAGTAATTCAAAGATTCTACAATAACTTTGGTTATTTAAAAAGATACAATTATTTAAAAACAATTCTCTAAAGATATTCAACAATTAGCAAAAAGGTTCGAGTGGATGGGAAACGAACCCGTCACATAATTGGGGCGGTCGTTTTGTAGACAGGACTCTAACCGCCTCGACCACTCCCTTCCAAAGACCACGGAGTTAAAAAGAGGATTCTTTAGTGGTTTTCTAACTTTTTAGTACCCGATGAAATTCTTTCATTATTTAGGGACATACCACTAGAATTTCTATTTAACGTAAAAAAAGCGCACTCCTAAATTCCAAACTCTGAGAAAAGTTTGTGTGACAGACGGACAGACAAACAGACAGACAAACGGACAGACAAACGGACAAACCGGGGACAAAGACAGAAACGGACACAGGCAACCAAACGGCAGACAAACGGGGACAAACGGACAGACAAACGGACAGACAAACGGACAGACAAAGGGGCAGACAAACGGGCAGACAAACAGACAGACAAACGGACAGACAAACGGACAGACAAGGGGACAGACAAACGGGCAGACAAACAGACAGACAAACAGACAGACAAACGGACAGACAAAGGGGCAGACAAACGGACAGACAAACAGACAGACAAACGGACAGACAAAGGGGCAGACAAACGGGCAGACAAACAGACAGACAAACAGACAGACAAACGGACAGGCAAACGGACAGGCAAACGGACAGACAAACGGACAGACAAACGGACAGACAAACGGGCAGACAAACGGGCAGACAAACGGACAGACAAACGGGGGACAAACGGACAGACAAACAGACAGACAAACGGAGGGACAAACGGACAGACAAACGGGGGGACAAACGGACAGACAAACAGACAGACAAACGGGGGGACAAACGGACAGACAAACAGACAGACAAACGGACAGACAAACGGACACTTGCCTTCTATATTGTTTTATATAGATTGAAAAAGATTTCCCCATTTTCAGATACCTCTTCCCGGCGAATTTCCTCTGTCAGAATTGTTCGGGCAATGAAACTTCTCGAGAGAATTTGAAAGATTTCCTCCTCTCATATTACTCGGAAATCAAGCCATACAAGGGGAAAAATCTCTTGGAAAACTTGACAAGAAACTAAATTTTCTTATTATTTCGAAAATTTTATTATAATTTACTTTTGAAAATCATCCCAAACGTGTACAGGTTTACAAAAAAAAAAAAAAAAAAATGAAAACAATAGTATTCATGCAAATTTTACGGTGCAAAAGGGAAATTTCGTTTTTTTTTATTGAAATTTACGGGAGTGGGACAAATGCGAGCTTTTTTTTGCGCACCCGGACATTTGCGCACCTTTTTTTCCGCACCTTGCCCATTAGCGCACCTTTTTTCGCGTTTTAAAAAAGCTCTAAAAAGCTAAAAAGCTCTAAAAAGCTAATATTAACCAATTTCTATTCCAAAAGTTGTTTTTCTAGGTAATTTTAGGGCGTAGAATCGAAATTTTGGCATATCAGAGCTTGTGGAAGCGAAAGGACGGAGTTATACAAAGAGAAAAATCGACAATTTTGATTTGATCGTAATTTGAGTAATTTGATCTAGCCGTTTTGTCTTTCAAATTGGTTCCACACGCTCTGATATGCCAAAATTTCGATTCTACGCCCTAAAATTACCTAGAAAAAGCAACTTTTGGAATAGAAATTGGTTAATATTAGCTTTTTAGAGCTTTTTAGCTTTTTAGAGCTTTTTTAAAACGCGAAAAAAGGTGCGCTAATGGGCAAGGTGCGGAAAAAAAGGTGCGCAAATGTCCGGGTGCGCAAAAAAAAGCTCGCATTTGTCCCACTCCCGAATTTACTCTTTAACAACCTTTCAAAATGTTTAATTGCTTTTCTTTCTTTTCTTTCTTTTCTTTAAATATTTCTTTCTTGCCTAAGCATTTTTTGAAATTTTTGTATTACCAACAAAACTTTCACAACAAAAAGAAATGGTGCTTTTCACCGGTGGCCAACATTTTTGTGTCTATTTTTCATTTTTCAACATTTTCTTGATGACAATTTCTATGAAAATTCTTAGGTTTATCAATAAATCTTAATATAATAATACTTTATTCAAACGATAAAGTGAAAGAAATCATAGAGAAATGCACAGTGATACTTAATCATACAATACATACTGAAATCAATAAGCCAATTACTTACGGCAAAGAGCCACTAGATCTAAAGCATCGATACGTTTCTTGAATATGAAAAGCGACTGAATTTCTCGTATGTCGTTTGGGAGCAAGTTCCATAATCTAGCGGCTCTAACGGGAAATGAATTTGATAAAGAGGCATTGGAAGCAAAGGGAATTTGCAAAAGGAATGAGCCACTTCTGGGCCCTGACCGCGGTTTAAATTTGAAAAAGTCTATAAACAAAGGGCTAATCTGTTTACAACGGAGGATTTTGAAAGTTTCGACTAAATCAATGACAAAGCGACGATGCTGTAAAGTTTTTAGTTCAAAAAAAGCAAGTCTCTCCTCATAAGTAAAGCTAGAATATTTAGAATAGTCAATTTTCCATAAAGCGACTTTTGTGAACCTCCTCTGAATTTTCTCCAAGCGTTCAATAAAGACTTGTGCGCGGGGAGACCAAACAATAGAAGCATATTCTAAGATGGGCCGGATATAAGTCGTCAAGCATTTGCGGTAAGAGTTTAGGTTAGGATGAACAATTGATTTGAGAATACGGCTAGAAACAAAAGAAGCTTTGATATGGATTACCAACAAAACTTTCACAACAAAAAGAAATGGTGCTTTTCACCGGTGGCCAACATTTTTGTGTCTATTTCTCATTTTTCAACATTTTCTTGATGACAATTTCTATGAAAATTCTTAGGTTTATCAATAAATCTTAATATAGATGAAAATATTGAGAAAAAAAACATGAGAAAGATGGCTTAAATGCTACAATTTCTAGCGATTTCACAAGAAGCTTCTCAATACAAGAAAATTGACACAAATTCTAGAGGTAAATACACAAGAAAATTGACAATCAACTAGATAATTGAAGTTCGATTTTAGAGAAAACATTGCCATTGCCTTGGCAGCCAAAATTGCCAGCTTTTCTAAAAAATCGAAAAACGATAGTTTCTCTGGTTTGGTTTCCTTTTGAAAGTTGAAAAGCTCGAAGGGGTATTGCCTATAGTTTACGGTAAAATTTCCGTTGTTAGATTTGACTTAGATGTGGCCTAGCTTTGGCTTAGACGTGGCTTAGATGTGACTTAGATTTGTCATAGATTTGACTTAGATTTGACTCATCGAAAAACTGTCGTAATCTGGTTTGCTTTTGAAAATTGAAACAATCGACTGGCGTATTGCAATTACTTATTGGCCACTCCAATAGAAGCTGCACTGAAATGATACTGAATTGAACTGAAGCTCTATCGCTGCATCGAGCTGAAGCTCCATCGCTGCATTGAGCTGAAGCTCCATCGCTGCACTGAGCTGAAGCTCCATCGCTGAACTGAGCTGAAGCTCCATCACTGCACTGAGCTGAAGCTCCATCGCTGCACTGAACTGATACTGAACTGAGCTGAAGCTCCATCGCTGCACTGAGCTGAAGCTCCATCGCTGCACTGAGCTGATCCCTGCACTGAGCTGAAGCTCCATCTCTGCACTGAGCTGAAGCTCCATCGCTGCACTGAGCTGAAGCTCCATCTCTGCACTGAACTGAAGCTCCATCGAATCACTTGAGCGGCAAAAAGTTACACCAAATTGGTTTTTAACTAAAATTTCTAGAACTTTGGCAGAATTTGCATAGGCAAATCTCTAGAAATAAACGAAATTTGATTTGTGGATGGTAAAATTGGATGTCGGGGCTTTATCAGTTTTTGTGCGGCTTCGTTTTGAGGCAATACGGTGATTATCGAGCTTTTTCACTCAGCCGAACAATTGGATTTTATAGTTTAAAGGAACTATGCTTCCTTTAAACTATAAAACTATTCATAACATAACTATGATTTAAGTTTTCTATGGAAATCATTGGTTTACCGTATTTCTCTTCGCGTACAATCAGATACAGTAGCTGTCTTTTAAAAGAAAAGCAGATGCGTTGGCGCGCTTTCTTGTGCGCCAATAAGCGCCAATAAGGTCCCTTTTTTGTGCGCCAATAAGCCCCCTTTTTTGTGCGCCAATAAGCGCCAATAAGCCCCCTTCTTTGTGCGCCAATAAGCGCCAATAAGCCCCTTTTTTATGCACCAATAAGCGCCCTTTTTTGTGCGCCAATAAGCTCCCTTTTTTGTGCGCCAATAAGCCCCCTTTTTGTGCCCCTTAAGCGCCAATAAGCCTCCTTTTTTGTGCGCCATTAAGCGCCAATAAGCTCCTTTTTTTGTGCGCCAATAAGCGCCTTTTTTGTGCGCCAATAAGCGCCATTTTTTGTGCGCCAATAAGCGCCAATAAGCCCCCTTTTTGTGCGCCAATAAGCGCCAATAAGCCCCCTTTTTGTGAGCCAATAAGCGCCAATAAGCGCCAATAAGCCCCCTTTTTTGCCAGACGCATTAGTTGATTTAAAAAATAAACTTTCTCTTTTTAAAAACAGTCAAAAGAAGCTTCAGTTCTGGTTTTTGATGAAAGCAATTTGAAGATTTTGTTTATAAATCGACTTTATAAACTCTTTCAAAAGCTTTTGTCATATTGAAGAATGAAATTTCTCTATTTAATTTCGCTTCTCTTTGCTTTAATTGTAGCAGATTTTCCGGATCTATGTGAGGTTGGGAAAATCCAGAAAAAATATTATATTAAAATATTCTGCGTTCAGGTTCTCTCCGTTGATCGCAATGGAATGGTCGAGGTGAGAAGTTTGGCTAAGTTGGTTGGAAAATGTTTTTGAAGAAAAGAGAAACAGCCATCAATTTCTAGCTATCAACTTGCAGATTTTTGCATTGTTTTTCAACAATTTAAGCCTTGAACAATTTAAGCCTTGTTTTTCAAAAATTTAAACAATCTTGCGTTTAGCTCGAATTTCCGGTCAATTTCGGTTCTTCGGGAGCCGCTCGAAGAAAAACGGCTTTCTCCGAATTCAACAAAGTCGATCAAGATAGTTAGAATTGAGATTGAATAATCCTGGAAATTAAATGCTGAAAAATGGAAATGATTAAGCAAAATTGTAATTGATTAAGCAATGATTAAGCAGAATTATTTAGAGTTAATCAAAATTTGTGGTGGCTCTGATGGGAAACCGTGTGATCAACATAAATGCGTAAGTGTAGAAGAAAAGTCTGAAGAAAAACTTCTATAGAAATGTTCTATAGAAGCTGTAAGAGCTGTAGAAAGCTTTTATAGAAATGTTCTATAGAAATTCTTTAAAGAAACCTATTAAAGAAACCTATTAAAGAAATCTTTTATAGAAATCCTTTATAGAGATCTTTTATAGAAATCTTTTATAGAAATCCTTTAAAGAAATCCTTTATAGAAATCCTTTATAGAGATCTTTTATAGAAATCTTTTATAGAAATCCTTTAAAGGAATCCTTTAAAGAAATCCTTTAAAGGAATCCTTTAAAGGAACCCTTTAAAGAAATCCTTTAAAGAAATCCTTTATAGAAATCCTTTAAAGGAACCCTTTAAAGAAATCCTTTAAAGAAATCCTTTAAAGGAATCCTTTAAAGGAATCCTTTAAAGAAATCCTTTATAGAAATCCTTTATAGAGATCTTTTATAGAAATCCTTTATAGAAATCCTTTAAAAGAATCCTTTAAAGGAATCCTTTAAAGAAATCCTTTAAAGAAATCCTTTATAGAAATCTTTTATAGAAATCCTTTAAAGAAATCTTTTAAAGAAATCTATAGCAATCTTTTATAGATCTTGTTTTTTTCATTTTCGATTTGTTTCGATCGATTTGTTCGATTTGTTCGATCGATTTGTTTATCTTTTAATTTTCTAGATCATTGTTCAAACAAAAGAGATCTCAAAAGAGCAATGGAAGCCCGTTTTGATCGGTGACGCTTTCCCGAAACCGCTCGGAAGTCGAGTGTGTCGTCGAAAAGAGAATCTTTAAACGAGGATAAAGAAATAACATAATGAATAAATAAATAAAAGATAAATAAATGATAAAAGTCAAAAAGATAGAGCTCATTTGATTACATAAATTTATAAAATTTGAAAACGATTTGTCCAGCGATTTTCTTTAAAACAACAATTGAACATTTTACACAAAAAAAGAGTTTTTTAGCGAGTTGAGACGAGCTTTGAGCTTTGTCTTAAAAGCCATTTTGCAGAGAAATGATAGGGCTTTTTCGGCCGCAACAAATTTCATAAAGAATTCTTTTCTATAGAAAGAAAAGTTTGAAAAAAGATTGTAACGAAATAGATTCTCTTGATTTTTCAAAGTTTTTCTCTTTTCAATATTTTCCTCGCGTAAGCAAGTGATTTTTGTGAGAGCTGGTAAAAGAAAAAAGGGAAAAAAGGGAAAAAAGGGAAAAAAGACTGAAAAACTTGTTAGATTTGAACTTTTCTGTTTCTTTTCTTTTCCTGTTTCACTTTGTTTTAAAATTTCTCTACTTGAAAATCGATTAAAGCATTCTTAAGCAGCATTTATAGCCTCAATACCAAAGCCGAATAGCTTTTTTTGGGTTGATGAATTGAAATCAGATAGCTTAAACAAGAAATCAAAAATTTACGACCTTAGCTCAGCATTAAAGCATTTGATAGATTCAACAACGCATAAATATTGGGTTGGTGAATTGAAAACTGTTTATAACTGTTTATATTATTGAATACTATACTAAAAAGGAATTTGTGGCCTTCTTTAGTGTCATTTTTTGATGGCATTGAAAACCAAAAGGAAATATTGGGTTGGTGAATTGAAAACAGCCGGCTATTGTCATATGTGGCAGTTTGGGCACTTTCTTCAAAAGAAACCCATTTTGGTGTCAATGGAAAAGTTGTAGGGGAAATGAAATGGCGGAAAATGAGGGGAAGGGGAGGGGGGGGGTTACGGTATCTGTCTGTCTTTCTGTCTGTCTTTCTGTCTGCCTTACTGTATGGGCATTTTTTCGGCCGTATTTTGCTCAATATTTCATTTTGCATGGATATTATATTTTGAGTTGTTTTTGGTGTCATTCGATGCGTAATTTCATTCTGCATCAAATGATAGTTAAAATAGTTAATATATTGGGTTGGTGAATTGAAAACTGCCGGCTATTGTCATATGTGACAGTTTGAGCACTTTCTTCAAAAGAAACCCATTTTGGTGTCAATAGAAAAGTTGTGGAGAATCAAAGATTAAGTTTATATCCTAATTTTCAGAACGATTCAAAAGCTGGGTTTCAAGAAATGCCAAATTTACGAATTTTCACAAAACTTGCAACAAAACTGGCAACAAAACTTGCATTTTAAGCGGAACTACTAAGTGTATCTTTTTTGAAATTTGGCTATAAGCCTAATTTTTGATTCTCTACAATTTTCCTATTGACACCAAAATGGGTTTCTTTTGAAGGTCGTGCTCAAACTGGGATCTCCAGTCTCCATCTCCAGTCCTCGATTTTTGAGTCTCACACTTGTCTCACACACAAACCAAAATCCTACTACGAAAGAGGAATCCGCAAATTGCCTGTAAAATGGGCAGAAGTCGTCAATAATAATGGAAATTATTCGGAATGAATTGATGGTTTTATGTTGAATAAATTTTAGTTCAAAGTCCGGTTCAAAGTCCTGCAGTTTTCAACTCACCAACCCAACATTTTCCCAGGTTTTCCAGAAAATCGATTTGCTCAGTGCAATGTTTATCGGCGGTTCGTTTTTTTGATTCTTTTCTTTCCGTTCTTTCCTTTTTCACTCTTTTCCTAATGCTCTCTCTTTTCTCTATTCTTTAGAGCTCTCTTTATTGCTCTACCTCTAAAAACTTTGTCAACAATTTCTTTTTTTTACTTTAACATGCGTTTTTAATTTAGATATTTCAATTTCTAAAGTCTTAAAGTCTCAAAAAGTTTTCGATGATGAGTTTTTGGAGAGAAGATACCGTTGAGGATTCGTCATGTGCTTTTTGTCACATAAAATGTAAGAATTTAAAAGTTGGGAATGAAAATGATATGAAAATGAAATCAATTCTAGTTGAGTTTAGTTTCTAATTGGTTTTTAGGTTCTTTTTAAAAGCTAAAGAAGCTTTAGACTCATTTTTTTGTGTACTTTTTGCTTTTTCTGATCTTATTTCTTCATTAAACTCATTAAAGAAACATTCTTTAATACAAGAGAAAATTGTTTTGTTTTTAAATTTGTTCAATTTATCAATTTGTTTTTAAAAAGAAGAGTTGAGTGCACTGGAAAAGATCAAAAAAGAGTTTTTTAAGGAGAAGACAAAGTTTAACTGGTAAACAAACTTGTTCTTGTTCTACCATGTAAACTTGTTCTATCTTTTTCTCAAAAAGTAGACTTTTTATTTCAACTTCCCATTTAGTCCCAACTTTCCGACACTCATTGCAATCTGCGGAAACGCTTCGATGTGGAGTGAGCGTTTGTTTGAATTGTTATTGGGAACATTACATGATCAATGGAAAGCACAAGGATCACGAATGTCCGATGGAATGTTTGAGATTGCCAATGGGTTAGTTGAGGGAAATTTTTAGGCAAAATAAGTCAAAATAAGTCAAAATAACACGAATTTTGTCTAATTTTGATCGAATTTTGTCTTACTGACTATAAATATTTGAAAAAATGGCTTTTATAGCTTTGTGACCATGGTAATTCAAAATTATAGCAACTTGGCATTTGCTGGAGCCAGCCAATTACAATTTTATTGGGTTAGTGAATTGAAAACTGCCGAACTTTGAACTAAACTTTGAACTAAAATTTATTCAACATAAAACCATGAATTCATTCCAAATAATTTCCATTATTATTGACGACTTCTGCCCATTTCTACTAAATAATCTATTAGTATTGGGTTGATGCATAATTATCCGGACTTCTTTTATAAATGATTTTATTTAACAAAAAATAACATAAATAGTTAGAAAAATATGTTTAATTGATTATTCTGGAGCATATTCACCGCCTACATCAATAACTGATTGCCATTTGCTTGGAAGACGATCGATTCCACGAGCGAAGAATAAACGATCTTTGGAGGCAATCCACGCTTTAACATCGTCTATCAAGTCATCCAAATCGTTGTAGATCTTATTTGTTTGCCAATTTTTGAGCGATCGATTGACGTGGTAGTCCGTTGGGGCTTCTCCAGTTCTTTGAGATCGCGAAACGACTCTGCGGCAGACCATCCCTTTTCGAAGTGGTAGAGCATGATATGGCGAAGATGGATATGATTGTCGACACGCATTTTGTTCACTAAAGAATAACGAATATTTAAAAAAAAGAAATAGACAAAAAGCTTTCAAAACAAAAAAGATACAAGCACGCAAAAAGAAGTCCGGATAATTATGCATCAACCCAATATATGCTAACTAGTAGCCAAAATTCGATAACGATTGCTTGGTTCAATCAAGAGAATGAGAACGATTGATTGATTGATTGGTTGGTTGAGCGATTGCTTGGTTCAGAAGAGAAAGAGCCTCTAACGCTGACACGCTGAAAAGCTTTGTGTGTTTCACTCTTTGTCGACTCGCTCAGCTCAGAAACATTAATGAAGAAAAGGGCCCAGAAAATTTTTGGGATAATTGCTAACATCCGGATACAATTCAACTTGAATTACCTCTTTTGATTGATTTTTTTTAGTAGATGTCTAGGAATTTTCTCTTGCAACTCATTCTTTTTCTCATTCTCACAATTCAACTCTCTCATTTTCTCTCGGAACTTTAGAGACTCATTCTCTCAATTGAGCCAAGCAATCGTTATCAACCTTTGGCTACTAGTTAGCCGATTAGAAAACCAGTCAACAGTTTCATCTGAAATTTCCATTGAATAGTCTATAAGAATAGGTTAATTAGTAGATAAAATTTGATGCTAATTAACCTTTTCGATTTCCAAAAAAACATCTATTTTAAAACTATCGTACCAAACTGCTAGTTTAACCAAATTTTGGCATTGTGAATCTTCATAAAACTAATAATATTGGGTTGGTGAATTGAAAACTGCGAGACTTTGAACCAAAAATTTATTCAACATAAAACCATAAATTCATTCCAAATAATTTCCATTATTATTGACGACTTCTGCCCATTTTACAGGCAATTTGCGGCAATTTGCGGATTCCTTTTTCGTAGTAGGATTTTGGTTTGTGTGTGAGACAAGTGTGAGACTCAAAAATCGAGGACTGGAGATGGAGACTGGAGATCCCAGTTTGAGCACTTTCTTCAAAAGAAACCCATTTTGGTGTCAATAGAAAAGTTGTAGAGAATCAAAAATTAGGCTTATAGCCAAATTTCCAAAAAGATACACTTAGTAGTTCCGCTTAAAATGCAAGTTTTGTTGCAAGCTTTGTAAAAATTCGTAAACTTTTCATTTCTTGAAAACCAATTATTGAATCGTTCTGAAAACTTGGATATAAGCTTGATTTTTGATTCTCTACAACTTTTCCATTGACACCAAAATGGGTTTCTTTTGAAGAAAGTGCCCAAACTGTCACATATGACAATAGTTTTCAATTCACCAACCCAATAACTTTGTGACCATGCAGGGTAATTCAAAATTATAGCAACTTTGCATTTGCCGGAGCCAGCCAACTACAATTTTCAAATAATCAAATCACTGATAAACCACAAGTTTTTTGAATTTTTCAACAAAAAAGTCAATCAAGGCTTTCATCAACGATTCCTTCAAGGATTTGATGTTTTTGTGCGACTTCGAGCAGGCTTTTGCTTCCAAAATGCTCCAGACAAAGAAATCAAGGGGGTTAAGATTAGGAGAACTTGTTGGCCACTCAGAAAACTTGATAAACACAACCCACCGTTAAGTCGTACAAATGACAGCTTATTTTTGGTGTCAACTCAAGTTTATCCTTTAGTTTATCCTTTTTCAAGTTAAGTTGTTAATTGATTTTGTAGAGTTTTCTGTAATTTTGTACTAGTTTTTACTAGTTTTTAAGAGGAGATTCAGGGCTATCGAATGAGTATAATAGTCTAGTTTATCCTTGAATTTACACCACCTTATCAGTAAAATAGTTAAAGACTACGCGACTGTACGCCCAAAAACCCCAAATTTGTTAAGGTAATTGACGTTTGGTTTAAGAGAAGTATTGAAGAGTTCAAGCGGAGTATTGAAGTATTGAAGTCAATATGAAGGAAATGTTCTAATAAAAGAATTTAAAAAGTTAATTCATGTTTAATCACTCAACTATCGTCAAGATTGTGAATTCCCCCGAGTAGCCAACTTTGACGCCCGATTTGACGGTGTTCTCGAGGACTTTAGTCTTGTCAAAATGGCACATTATAAAGTCAAAATTTGACAAGGAATCGAATGGCATCTTTGGTTTTTCGATCGGACCACTTGAACTCTTGAAATAAACGTCTTGAGCATCCACTTGATCTTTACCTGATAGCTCACAATCCAGCTTCACTGATAGCTTACAATCCAGCTTCACTGATAGCTTACAATCCAGCTTCACTGATAGCTTACAATCCAGCTTCACTGATAGCTTACAATCCAGCTTCACTGATAGCTTACAATCCAGCTTCACTGATAGCTTACAATCCAGCTTCACTGATAGCTTACAATCTCTAACGTATTTTAGCGTTTAATTTGTAAAGCTCCCAAATCTATAAAATACCTCATCAGTTTTACTTGTGTAAAACTACGACTACGCGACTGTACGCCCAAAAAGACGTTGTCGCGAACGTGTTAACTCCCAAACGTGTTAACTCATTTCCCACCAAAAGCGCAAACCAAGTTTCAGAGCTGAAACATCGTCGTTTCCTTTGTCCACCGAAAATCATTGGATGGCTGAATGAGAGGGTATTCAAATTGGCGAAAACTTTAGCATTCAGCTGTTATTTTAGTCCTGTCAACCGCCAAAGTGTCAACAATGCTATCAAGAATGTGAGTTTTGAATAAAATGATTGATTCGCAAACTCAGATGTACTTGCAAACTCAGATGTACTTGATTTTAGACTCGCTGACCAATCCATCTCAACTCCCTTACGCACTGCCGTGTAATCATTCAATTTGTCATCAGTGTGTTCAATGGTCAAAGTATAAATCTACAAAAAAGAGCTGGAAAGTCTTTTGTCCGGATTGTTCGAATGATTTCGAGATTTGGCACAAAGATCCGACTGCACAGAGGAATCGATTAAAGTGTAAGTTTACAAGGGGAATTGTTTGAAGTAACAGTGAGATTTTGGCACCAAAATGAGAGGGAAACAACTATCGAATACGGCGAGTACGATGCTGCTTTCGGATTTTGCTAAGGATCACTAGTTTTCTAGAAAAATGGCTTTAAAATTTCGCGGTCTACGCTTGAAAAAACGAGGCACGCTTCAATAAAAGGACTTCTTTCGGGCAAAGGAAATATGACTTTGTGGTCAGTCGGTAGAGTGCTCGCCTCTGAGTCACGTGGCCCTGGTTCGGTCCCGCGCGGTGCCATTGTTTTTTCTCTTTTTCTAAAATTTTATATATCGTATTCTCTCTATTAGAATTGTACTCTTTAATAGTATTGTACTTTAGTATTGTACTGTAGTATTGTACTGTAGTATTGTACTGTAGTATTGTATTTTAGTATTGTACTCTAGCATTGTACTCTAGTATTGTACTTTAGTATTGTACTGTAGTATTGTACTGTAGTATCGTACTGTAGTATTTTACTGTAGTATTGTACTCTAGTACTGTACTGTAGTATTGTACTGTAGTATTGTACTGTAGTATTGTACTCTAGTATTTTACTCTAGTATTGTACTGTAGTATTGTACCTCTAGTATTGTACTCTAGTATTGTACTCTCTAACAGTGTTCCGGTCGGGAGGAGGGTTGAAAAGATAATAGTAGGCACTACTATTAGAGAGAATACAATATTTTTAATTTTCTAATTTTAAATATTCTCTTTTTAGATATTTTAAGGATTGTAGAACTTTTAAACTCTATTCTACTCCATTGTTCACCAATTTTGATTCATAAATCCAGAAGCCAACCAGAAATAACAATTCTAGCAATTCTCGAGTTAAATTTTGACATATTTATCGACACAACATACCGTATTCTCTCTAATAGTAGGGCACTTTGGGCCAAAGCGCCGCCTAAATTGCTCGAAATCTCGAGAACCACTTATCAGAATCTATCGATGTGGGGTCGGAAAATGTAGCTGACGATGAGATCTAGTGGGGGATTTGAGTGTTGAGCTTCTGGGAACAACTTGGAAACCGTAAAGTAGCCATCAACTCGGCTCGGTTCACTACAATTAGAGAGAATACGGTAGACGGTTGCTAGGACTCATGGTATACCAAATCCTAAAGCAATTGCCTGAAAAAAAACAAATTTTCAAGTTCTACAACTCTTAAAGTATATAAAATACAATTTTGGAAGAAAAAGAAAGAAATGGCGCTGTCCGGGACCGTACCAGGGTCGCGAGAATTTTTAGCTTTATTTCTATCAAGGCGAGCCCTTACCCCGTCGAAATTTCGTTCACATCACAGTTCGCATTTCGTCTGCCCGAAAGAATTCTTTTTATAGACGTCCATTTTCGAGTAGATGCCGAAATTTAAAGCCATTTTTCCAGAAAACTAGCGATCCTTGGCATCCGATCCGAAAGCAGCATCGTACTCGCCGTATTCGATAGGTTTGGTGCCGAAATCTCATTTTGGTGCCTCTCATTTTGGTACCGAAATCTCACCGTCACTTCTGACCATTCCCCGGTTAGAAATCAGGACTAAAGCTTGCTAAAATCAGATTAAAATTTAAAATCAGTTTAAAAAATATGAGTTCAAAGTGATTTTATGATTTTAGATCATCTTTAGACTCTTTACAACACCATGAGGAACTCCTTGACAAAGCTGAGCGTTTATGGAGACAAGAGACTGTGAGAAAGGTTATTTTGTAATAAGCATTAGCGAAATAGATTCGATTTTTTGATAGAAATAGAGCTAAAAATCGGAATACAGCCTTTCTGGCCCAATCAAGCTTAGGCTTAGGCTTAGGCTTCGGCTTAGGCTCAGGCTTAGGCTTAGGCTTCGGCCGAGGCTTAGGCTTCAAAGCTTTAAAGCATTGAAGCTTTGAAATTTTTTAGCTTTAAAATTTAGGAACGAAAGATGAGAGAGAGATTCGAAGATGCTTTGGCTCAATGCACATTTCTGAAAAATCATCTCCCAAATCAGTTCAACAAAATTCTCGATAAAATTGATTTTTTGGAGCAAGTTAGTTGGATTTTTGCAGTATTTGAATGACATTTTAGAATCTCTAGAATCTCTAGAATCTCTAGCATCTCTAGAATCTCTAGAATCTCTAGAATCTCTAGCATCTCTAGAATCTCTAGCACCTCTAGAATCTCTAGAATCTCTAGCACCTCTAGAATCTCTAGAATCTCTAGAATCTCTAGAATCTTTAGAATTTCTAGAATCTTTAGAATCTCTAGAATCTCTAGAATCTTTAGAATCTTTCGAATCTCCGAGAGAAATACGACTTTTTCTTCAATCAAAGTCGGCAAGGAGAAGATGATTTCAAGTGAGAAAAACGAGTTTTCAAAAAAAAAATTTCCTTTTAGTCAAATTCTGGACGATTTTCAAGAGTTTTTGGAACAATGTTTTGCTTCAATCAAGGATTTAGAGAAAAAAGCTGAGGTAATGGCTTTTTTTAAATCATAGAGCTTTCAAGAATTTCACTTTTCAATCAAATATATTCAAATTTGAGCATATTTAGGAGCTTTTCTCGAAATTGCACATCACTGACCCTGAGAAAAGCGATTGGTGAATAGCGATTGTTTTGTTTATTTATTTGTTTAATTTGAAAATTGATTTGCTTTGAGATTATTCTTTAATAATTGTTGTTTACTGGTTTAATAAAGTTTATTCCTGCTGAAATACATTTCTATACATTGAAGAACGAATCTGGTACACAAATATACTTTTAGCTTCTAATACTCAGCCTCGGGATCATCGAAATCTTGATCCGATTGGGTGTCCATGCCCACTTCTTCGTAATCCTGAATTGAATGAATCAATTGAATCAATTGAATTGAGGGGATCAATTGAATGGATCAATTGAATGGATCAATTGAATGGATCGATTGAATGGGTCAATTGAATGGATCAATTGAATGGATCAATTGAATGGATCAATTGAATGGATCATTGAATGGATCATTGAATTGAATGGTCAATTGAATGGCCAATTGTGGTCATTGAATCGATCGATTGAATGGATCAATTGAATGGATCAATTGAATGGATTAATTGAATGGATCAATTGAATGGATCAATTGAATGGATTAATTGAATGGATCAATTGAATGGATCGATTGAATTGAATGGATCAATCAGATGGATCGATTGAATGGATCAATTGAATGGATCAATTGAATTGAATGGATCAATTGAATTGAATGGATCAATTGAATGGATCAATTGAATGGATCGATTGAATGGATCGATTGAATGGATCAATTGAATGGATCAATTGAATGGATCAATTGAATGGATCAATCGAATGGATCAATCGAATTGAATGGATCAATTGAATGGATCAATTGAATGGATCGATTGAATGGATCAATCAGATGGATCGATTGAATGGATCAATTGAATGGATCAATTGAATTGAATGGATCAATTGAATTGAATGGATCAATTGAATGGATCAATTGAATGGATCGATTGAATGTATCGATTGAATAGATTAAGTGAATGGATCAATTGAATGGATCAATCGAATGGATCAATCGAATGGATCAATCGAATGGAATGGATCAATTGAATCAATCAATATTTTAGAGTAAGATTGATATCCTTTATTACATTTCTACAAGAAAGCTATGACTTTTTCTTTTATTGATTCAATTCTTTGCCTTCTTACTCTTTTATGGGTTGAAACTGGAAAACAAACACGGTCAGTGCCGAGATTTGAACCCGTGATCTCTCGCTTACTGGCCGAACACTCACCAAAGAGCTACGCAGACACGTATCTCATTGCCGCCAAGCTTGGCTCTTATACCTTACCACAAACCTTTTCTAGAGCAGCCAAATCCTCGCGCGCCTCCGAGAACTCGCCCTCCTCCATTCCCTCACCAACGTACCTGAGACAAACTTTTGATGAAACTCTCTTCTAACAATTCCTACCAATGCACAAAAGCTCTCTTTGAATACATGAGATCGAATTTGTGATCGAGACGAGCCCAAGCCTCAGCGATGGCCGTTGTATTTGAGAGCATGCAAACGGCTCGTTGCAATTTGGCCAACTCAGAGCCGGGGACAACAGTTGGTGGTTGATAGTTGATGCCAACCTTGAATCCTTCGATTGTATCACGATTTTAAACTCAATCTATGCAAATCTATGCAAATAAACTCTTTTTTCTGGCAGCTCTTCCTTCTGGAAGCAGCTCTTCCTTCTGGAAGCAACTCTTCCTTCTGGAAGCAACTCTTCCTTCTAGAAGCAACTCTTCCTTCTGGAAGCAGCTCTTCCTTCTGGAAGCAACTCTTCCTTCTAGAAGCAACTCTTCCTTCTAGAAGCAACTCTTCCTTCTGGAAGCAGCTCTTCCTTCTGGAAGCAGCTCTTCCTTCTAGAAGCAACTCTTCCTTCTAGAAGCAACTCTTCCTTCTAGAAGCAACTCTTCCTTCTGGAAGCAACTCTTCCTTCTGGAAGCAACTCTTCTTTCTTCTTTGTGCCAAGGATAAGCCTCCACCCCATTTCCTTCAGATTTCTGCTCAATTTTAATGCACTAACTGATTTGCCAGCTCAATTTTAATGCACTAACTAATCTGCTAGCTCAACAGCAGTTTGATTTTATAGAACTTTATGAACTTTATGAATTTCCCATCCACCTTAAACCCAGTTGGACACCATTCGACAAACTGAATCGTTCTTTTCGTTTTCACGTGAGCGATCGCCGCGTTCACATCCTTTGGCACCACATCGCCACGATAAAGTAAACAACAAGCCTGAAATAAATACGAATTTTCGAATTTTTATGAACATTTATGCAATACTCTAAAAAAGCAGAAATTTGAAGAAATACCATGTATTTTCCATGTCTTGGATCACATTTCACCATCTGTGCGCCCGGCTCAAAGCATTGTTGTGTGATTTCAGCTACCTAAAAGAAAAAGAAACATTTTGGCACCACTATATACAGTACTGGACAATGAAATATCATATTTGAAAAACGATCGCCACTTTTGCGCGTCTGTAACTCCCTTGTCTTTACCGTATTTCTAAATATTAATATTACCATTGTGTAGCCCTTGAAAAGAGCTTTCAGAAAATGCATAACCCTAATAGTTTAAACTCAACGACAAGGGGGCTACAGACGCGCGAAAGTGACGATCGTTTTTCAAATATCATAATTCATTGTCCAGTACTGTATATACTTATTTGAGCGCGCGAAAATGCATTAAAAATGCCGTATTTTAAAAGTTCGAAAAGCTCATCATCAAGAGCTTGATTAGAGCTTGATTAGAGCTTTCAGAAAATGTCGCACACTTTAGCATTAGAAAATGAACCATTAGCTCAAATATTCCGCAAGATATAGCGCGCCAAAAGGGGAAAAAATCAAATATAATACTCCAATGACCGGTACTCTATATGTCGCTATGGCCGAGTGGTTAGGAGTCTTGTATCCTAGTCCGGGTTGACAAGCCAAGTTGAGTTGGCTTCAAAGCAGTGGCCTCAAAGCAGTGGCCTTCAAAGCAGTGGCCTCAAAGCAGTGGCCTCAAAGCAGTGGCCTCAAAGCAGTGGCCTCAAAGCATCCAAAGCAGTCCCAAACATGGCCTCAAACAGTGGCCTCAAAGCAGTGCCCTCAAAGCAGTGGCCTCAAAGCAGTGGCCTTCAAAGCAGTGGCTTCAAAGCAGTGGCTTCAAAGCAGTGGCCTTCAAAGCTGTGCCTTCAAAGCAGTGGCTTCAAAGCAGTGGCTTGAAAGCATTGGCTTGAAAGCAGTGCCTTCAAAGCAATCTAATCAAACGTTCACAGTCAAATCAATATTCCCAGCGAAATGGGGAATCGTTTTTTGCGTTTTTGTGGTTTTGCGCCTTTAAAAGAGATCAAATACGGTCCAAAACGATCAAAATGCCTCAAAATGATCTTTTTAGACATTTTTTTGAGCATTTTGAGTCTTTTCAAACGACTAAAAAGTCTTTTTAGTTAGTTTTAGCCTTTTTAGTTAGTTTTAGCCTTTTTAGTTGCCAAATGATCGTCAAAATCTTTCCCAAAAGAAACCCCGAACTGACTCACCGACATTTGCTCATGAAAAGCTTTCTCAGCCGAGAGAATCGGCGCATAGGTGGTGAGTGGGAAGTGGATTCTTGGATACGGGACCAAGTTTGTCTGGAAAATTTCAAAGAAATCACAATTTTTCAACTTTTCACCTTTTCAATACCTGAAATTCGGTGAGATCCACATTTAGAGCTCCATCGAAACGCAGAGAGGCTGTCACTGAGCTGATCACCTGAATTTAAGCCTTCATGAAGCTTCACCATATTATCTGACATACAGGGAGCGATCAAAATATCCGGTGGCACATACTTTTTGCTATAATAGCGCGAAAACTCATTTATCCACGCTTTTTCTCATGTTTATTAGATTTAGAAATGAAGTGAGTGATAAGTGATTTAGAAATGAAGCTGGGATGGAAAGAAAAGAGGGAAAAGAAGGCATTTTCAAATGGCAAATGGCCAAGGACCGACTCAGCCTGATGAGACCGGGAAAAAGCTGAAAATACTGCATCAAACAGTACAATATCTCCTACATCATCTCCTACATCGTCTCCTACATCATCTCCTACATCACCTCCTACATCATCTCCTACATCGTCTCCTACATCGTCTCCTACATCATCTCCTACATCGTCTCCTACATCATCTCCTACATCGTCTCCTACATCATCTCCTACATCACCTCCTACATCATCTCCTACATCATCTCCTACATCGTCTCCTACATCATCTCCTACATCATCTCCTACATCGTCTCCTACATCATCTCCTACATCGTCTCACCCTCATAAACGATAGACTATTGCCTAGGTCTTAATTTGTAAATTGTAATTATGTACGTGCAAAATAAATCACCGGTGACCCCAGTATATGGGGTCTTGAAGGCAAAGGTCTCATCAACTCCAAATGCTATTTTGGATAATATGAAAGCCACCCTTATCAAGGACTGGGCAAAAATCTCCGTAGATGCAAAAATCTCGGTGCCGAAGACGATTTGCCGAAGCGACCTAGGCCTTTGGAAAGGATTAAGGAAAAAGGAGGCAACTTTGAGATTTAACTGTTTTTTGTTGTTGTTGTTGTTATTTTCAGTAAAATTCTATAAAGATTTTGTGCTAATTTTCTGAAGATCAGTCTTTCTTTTCATCGCTTTTCATCATTTCATCGCCGAACCTTTTGGCTGCACCCTTTAAAAGGATGAAAGTAGCTTTTCAGGTAAATTTCAGATAATTCAGAATGTTTTTTGGGTACTTTGTGATTTTATTGACTTAATTTTTCTGCTTGATGATCCATCTAATCTTATCAATGATTTTTCTGGTATTAAAGACAGCTTCCTCTGATCTGACAGCTTCCTCTGATCTGACAGCTTCCTCTGATCTGACAGCTTCCTCTGATCTGACAGCTTAAAGACAGCTTCCTCTGATCTGACAGCTTCCTCTGATCTGACAGCTTAAAGACAGCTTCCTCTGATCTGACAGCTTAAAGACAGCTTCCTCTGATCTGACAGCTTAAAGACAGCTTCCTCTGATCAGTTTCAGCCGTGGAAGC